GAGAACAATCAAATAAATCAATATTTTGTGTTCTGATAGAAGGATAATAGGGGTCTACACACCTGAATCAAATGATTACTTCATTACCAGGCCTCTGCAGAACTTCAAGACATGTTGAGGAAATAATTTAGCCATTTAAATCAGCTGTGATAGATCAAGGACACATCTAGAACCTGCAGGACACCGGCCCTTGATGCCTGGGTTTGGACACCACTGGGGTAAGCAATGGTGAAGACTTAGATCACAGAGGACTAAGCAACAAATTCGGACATTCAAAACTGCATATTATAATAGCTGTAGTGGCAGAAATACTTTTTTCCTACTCTATTTGACAGAGGCTTTATTGATAGCAAAGTCATTATCGAATTGGCTTACTGATGTGTTTCTTTATCGAGTCCCTTTATTGATTCTTAACCTGGTTTTACATGAGGAAACAAGTATACCCACGCACATTTTCAGTGTTGATACAACTGCTTTATTATCTGAAATACTTCTCCCACATTTAAAATGGAGGAGGTGAAAAAATATTTGCATGACGATCGTTTTCATTCATGTTTCAGCATGTTGCTGTTGGCTTCACCTCAACTGAAATAAGTTACAGAAAATATAATGAGCCAGAACCTGCATGGATTAATAAAGCTGATAAAAGCACATAAAAGTCTCATTCTTTGGAAAAATTTGGAACCGGTTTCAAGTGACACTCGTTTTCAGTTTCCATCTGAAAAACCAGTGCAGACATGGTCAAATCAAAGCATCTAAACTATTTTATAGCCAACTCGTCATTACAATTTTACACTAGCTTGAAGCAGAACTTTTCAAATTCCTCTTAATCAATCTGAACCGGTCTCCTTGTATTTTACTAACTATTTATTTTATTAAGTTTGCTCGGGTAGCTGTAGCTAGGCGGTAGAGCAGGTCATCTGCTAAACTGATGATTGGTGCCAGTCTGCATGCTAAAGTATCCTTGGGCAAGACACTACCATGTAAGGACTTTATCTAAACTCTAAGTCTACTACAATATGGTTAATTTCTTACCAGAACTTTTCTTTGTGGTTTAAAAAGAACTGTTCACAAAAGATATTTGTAGAAGAAACTAAATAACTCTTGCAAATCTGGAATTAAAATTATTTCCTTTTCTTTTCCTGAACAGAAGTAAGATAAGGTAAAAATAAGATACTTATCAGGTTAAAATTACACTCACCAGACTTTGAGGTAGACCTGTTCAACTGTATATCAGAGATTAAAGGTCAGTACAATTGCCACATAAGCATGGTATGCATGCATGCATGCATGGTATTTAAATGTGAATAACATTTGGTTTGTATACTCTACTGCAAGAAAGCTTTACATGTCTTTCAGTTTCTGTTGATCGGTTGGAACTGCAACAGACATGAAGACATCTTTGCGGGAAACTGAAATGTAACCTTAAATTACCTTTAGAATATTTGTTGGTGCCTCTGTGAGATAACGTCTCGTTACACAGTACTGTATAAAAGTCTCGAGTCACCGCTCATTTCTTTATTTTGTTTGTCATTGTCATGCTGGAACATGAAGCCACTGCCAATCAGGTGCTTTCCAGATGATGGTACTTTACTGTGTTCATAATTCATTAATTTAGACACAGACCTCCGACACCACTGGCTGAAAGCAGGATTGCTGGATTTTTTTTTCTCACTGTTAAAGACGTGACTTTCAAATACAGTTCATCTCTTGTAGACAGTTCTCTTTTTAGGCTTGCCACTTCTTTGACCTCCGATTGTCCAATTTCCTCTGATTTTTATAAGGACAAACTGCACACCATGCTGAGATATGCAAACAATTTCAAGTAACATCTCTTTGGGAATCAACATGTTTGTGAAAATAAATACTATTTTGTTTTTTGGAATTTTCCATGGACTTATCTTTGGCAATTTTCATAGATTCAACTGAAGAAATGGAAACAAATGTTTGTGTTTCTGTGGCAGGATGATAGTAAAAAAGTGCCTAAAGATACATTTTAAAATTGATTCTTTGCTGAGCTGTCTGTTGTGTGCAGACACAACACTGGTTCATCCCTTGAGCCTTTTGTGCTCAAGTGATTCATATGTCAGTGTTACATGGGTTAACAAAAAAAAAGGAAAAAAAACTTTTGAAAACCTTCAGAAAGCCTGGAGAACTATTGTTCAAGAGCACTTAAAAAATGAAAGAAAGGTCTGGCTCCATGGAAGCAAAATATAAAGAAGTGAGAGGTGGCTCAAGACTTTGCTCAAAGTAGATATTATTAATTTAACTTTAAATTAGTTTTACACTTGTATCAGACCAGTGCTTGGTATCAGCAGATACCCACAGTCTAGTTATTGGTGTAGTAACTTCTCATTAGTCGCTGATCTCAATAAATGAAACCAGAACTAGCAGATGTGATGAAACGTTTCTCTTTGGTTTTATTCAGTTTTGCTTATGTCCTGAATCCCAGCAAAATGCTGATGGCAGCGGATCTACTAGCTCATCTCCACTGTCTTTCCATCTTTGTGTTTAACATGACCTGATAACATCGAGGGTTTATGGAGCGATGTATTTTGATGAAGAGGATGACACAGCTCATTACCAACCGGCCTCCTCCTCCTCATTATGTAAGCTACATACTTCTCCTCCTGCATGTATTAAAACAGACGGGTAATGAGACAACAGAGAACATCTGCCACGACCGCCGCCGCACACGTGCTCGCTGTATACATGACGAGAGCGCAGAGGGAGACGCGGATGAAGATGAATCAACGTGCTGCCGCCTGACCCCCAGCTCGGCACTGAGTGGGAGAGTTTGATGAGTCACCACGCGCACACACAAATATAACAGAGACAGAGGAGGGCAGTGACCAGATGGCTTCAAATCACATCAATCTGTCAATACAGACAGAATCAATACGCCATCTTTCTAAATTCAGGGACTAAATTTATTTAACTTGACATGCGAAGCCTCTTCACTCGAAGGTAATTAACGATCAACAGCAAGCAAGTGTATTTGCCGCTCTTCTTTCTCATAAACTGGATTTATTTAGAGGAAGTTAACCCTCAAATGTGGCCAATCCTGAGTCATAATCAGAATTCCCTCTTTTTCTGTTAGTTACTGTCTCCATTACTCGGTTTAACTGCTGCACAGGCAAAGATGTAAACAAAAAACTGTAAGAAATCATTAAAAGAAAAAAAATCACTGTTTCAAAGCCTCCCTGACTTCTAAAATATTACATATAAACTCAGCGAACACTTCACCAGACGGATACAGCTGTTCAACTGCTCGTTAACACACAAATTTTAACCAGCCAATCACATGGCAACTGCACATCAGGATGTGGAAGAAAGGTGATTTAAGTGACACTGAATGTGGCATGGCAGCTTGTCTGGGTAAATCAGAAACTGCTGATGTGCTGGGATTTTCCCACACAATCATCAGGGTTTACAGAGAATGGCCAACAAGGGAATGGCCAGACTGCTTTGACCTGAAAGGAAGGCAACAGTAACTCAAATATGCACTTTTTACAATCAATGTATGCAGAAGAGCATCTCAACAGTAGAAGACCACACTGTATGCCACTCCGGTCAGATAACAGCAGGAAGCTGAGGCCATGGTTCACACAGGCTCGCTAAAACTGGACAATAGAAGATTAGAAAGATGAGTCAGAATTTGATGTAAACAACATGAAAGCATGGATCTGTATGGCTTCATATCAACAGTTCAGACTGCTGCTGATGGTGTCATGGTATAGGGGATATTTTCTTGACACACTTTAGGCCCCTTAGTACCAACTGAGCATTGTTTAAACACCACAGCCTACTTGAGTATATTTACTGACCATGTCCATTCCTTGACATGGTCCCTGGACAGTGCACCATCTTCTGATAGATGTGGAGCCGATAAATGTGCTGCAACTCTGCAATGTTATCATGTAACGTTGACCAAAATCTCTAAGGAGTGTTCCCAGCACCTTATTGACACTACAACATGAAGAATTAAGACAGACCTGAAGGATGTAATACTTTCACCAAAGCAAAGTAAAACACACTCAAACTGCCTAAATGTAACACCTGTTCCACACAAATGTGTGATTATAACCTATATACTGTAATTTTTTTTATATATATATATATATATA